AGGTCAAATTCATTGTGCTTTCCCAGCAATTCCTCTTGGAGGGGTCAAATTCTGTTGACACTTTCTATCAAAAACATTCGTTATTTTGATAGATAACAGATGTTCAATTGCAAAGGGCTCCTTTCTATCATTGTTCTACTTCAAAAATTATTATGTTCACAGCTCTTATACCGTAATTCTTTGACGTTTGTTAAGTACGACGTAAATCACTGTGAGCAGATTTGTTTCACATCCAAGCAAATTGGTTACTCTTGTCATTGCTTATATTTTTTCCTTGTTAGACAATAAGTTTGGGCATGTCTCCATGTCTATATATAAAACAATCAGAACATCTCCACGAGTAAACAACCATATCTAGATCAGCTGTCCCGGTTCATCCTGTATCTGGTGTGCACGAATAGCGGCAATGCCCGGGCACAGTGGCGCCCACGATACATAGGCATTACTTTAACTGAATTGCACTCGTTTAACTCGACCAAGTACCGCCCACGACAAACCCTTGCGTTGCTTATAAAAACAAAAGAACATCAAACTTGCCACACGCAACAAGTCGCAATTCTTTGGCACACGCGAGCTCCCCTAACCAAGAGGTAGGTAACGCACTGCAGTATATTACTATAGTTTGTCAATTACCACAAGCTTACTTAATTCACACTGTGGGTTCTAAAAGCTTGTTTTCTAGTACTTTTACGAGTTGGGTTTATGGCCAGCGTCAAATAGTATCAATCTGAATTACTCGAATGACTTACAATTTAACAGGTAAATTTTTCGGACGTACGATTGTACTATTGCGGTACCGGTTTATCATCTGTCACACTTTTCAGTAATTAATTAATGTTTTAAGTGCAACACAGTCTAACACAAGTCTAAAATACATAAAAGCTAAGTATTTGTTAAGGCGTACATGAGTTTATTTATTTATTAATTAATTAATTTATTTATTTTGTTGTGGGGGAGGACGCGCGCGCTCTTTACGCTTATGTAGGGGGTATATATAAATGTTTATAACGATGATAAATATATGAATGAATAACATCAAAGTTCGGTGATTATATTATATTAAGGATAGAGACTGAATTACGCAACACGCGTTACATTATGATTATATTATGTGCTGGTGACACGGACGCCTGCGTGCAAGAACTATTTACGCTGATTATCTATTTATGCGTCCGATGATCACGTTCTGCAGACTGATAGATAAGTATATTGCAAAAAATGTGACTTGTCACAATTAATAGATGACGATAAATTGGTGTTGCAGTGTACAATTTACACTGATTACATACTATCAACGTTTTTTTTATCGCATTTTGCAGACTGATAGGTAAGTGATTGCAAAAATTGTGACTTGTCACAATAGATAACGATAACCTTCTGTGTTACGGGAACGATTTCTGACAGTTCCAAAATGTGACACATACGGAGAATAATTCAAGGTTTCGGCCTTTGTATTAAAGCCGTCATTTGCTTTTTAAAGATGCATCAATGCGATATGAAACTTATACATAGCTAAGTAACCTTATGTAAAACACCGACGGGACATTAAACTTCGCAAAGATCAATCAGAAATGTCATTATAGCGCCTTTATATAGTGAATGTGATGACTTGTTTCATCAGTTTGCTATTGTCGCCCAGTAATAGAAGCGATTTTAATAATCTCATGGCAAAAGTAACACTGGTGGCAATTTAGCTAGATAATTGCAAAAAAGGAATTTTGCATCATTTTCTTTATCACGTCCATAGAACAAGATAGAATGGAATGATAATAGGCACTTGATCATCTGCAATATTGCTATAGGCACGCAGGAATAAAAGGACATAAGAAGTGATGGGTTAGTCTTTGTAAATGTAAATGGATATGAGTATTTAACGGAGATAGAAACACGTTCGGACGCGGTCATCTTGCGCAGGGGTCACAAGCACTGTGGTCGCTTTGGGTCATACATTATACTGAATCATAAATTACATCATGAACTCATCATGACCTGTTGCCTGGCAGTATTTTGTCTTAATTTCACATAATAAGTTCTTTTAAGTTACCTTGCCAAATGTACAGAAGTACAAAAGTAGAGTTTTAGGCGGAGTAAAAATGTAGTTTGAAGTCATACCTGTTCTTTTCTGTATGTAACAATTAATATAATGATAGTTTATAGTAGAATTACATGTAGTTCACCATCTTCTTTGCACGGTAACCCGTAAATTCCTATAAAAAGTTTAGCTTTTTTACCATTCTGCTAGAATTACACATCTAAATATAAACATACACACCAAACTAAAAGAAAAACAATTTCCTGGTCAAAAGTGTAAAAGTTGTTTGGAAATCATGCCTACTCTGTGTAAAGTTATTCCCCACTGGATCGCCCTGCCCCTCCGTACCACTAATCAGTCATTAGCACCGCGTTCAATTCTGCAGCTTGTGTCCCCCACTGTGCCCGCCCGGTACTCGCGTGGGGATCGGGATAGCCATTAATGAAATTGATGGCAATGTTGTGTTTCATTTACATGGCCAGAAATAATGGTTTGTAATCCCCAAGGCACGGGAACCAAATTAAAAAGATCTCGGCCAAGGTGGCGGTTCGGCTTCCACCACGTAGCGTGGGACTTTGGGCACATAGCGGTGATGTTTTGGACGGTCAAGTTTATTTCAGGTCACCGATATGTATTGATGTTCACATCACAGGTATGATGACGTTGTTAATTTATTGTCTTTAAAGTTGCAGCAGCATTTTGTTGGTACCTCCGATGTACAATGTGAATGCATGCTGATGCAAGCGGTATTATATGCCTCTTAATGTATATATAGCTTTTTTTTAATTTTTAGCCGTTTAAAACACGTCCATCGTTTTTTTCTAATCACTTACCGAGGTAAAAATGTATCTAAACTCCAGAGGCAAAAGGTTCCCCGTGTTTGGTCATGCGTGTCTTGCGTTAAATGCTTCGGATCCTCGCGAGGCATATGCAAGAGACGTGAGAGCACAGAGGAAATGTCTTCAGAACAGAGTGAATTAATGGAATTATGCAGCATGCCAAGGTGATGAAATGAAGTGTGTTTACCTCGGGAGACAAAGCACCGAGAAACATTTTCGAAAGTGATGTTTGCGTTGCCCTTATTGTCAAGCATCGGTTAACTAGTGCACATTTGGCACGTATCAAATTCCTTTGAAACAATTGCATGTACTGGCGGTATACCCCTGTGGAAGAGATTGCATCGAGAAATGGTTTTCAGTAAACATTGTTTCCATATTTTTCTCTCCTTACAGAAGAGGGTTTTCATGCCAACTTACAGAACATCAAAGTAGCCAACTTTGCACATAGGGGATTAAGAAAGAACCGATGTATCGTGAAAGAGCCTGTTCTTGGGAATCAAAATGAAAATTCTAGCTTTAGTATGAAAAATGCGCACATTTTTTACAAATGAAATTCTCTTCCTTGGGAGCCAAGATGGCAGACGCTTAGTGTTCTATTGTGCGCTATGATTGGACAGATCGTTTGCATCTTTGTTACTCCAAACGCCATTGACCAATGCATTATGATTTTGTTTCATTCCCCACCCTTTCTGCTTTTTTCACACCATAACACTTTATCTTACACCTCGTTCTATATTTTAAACTCGCGTTTATTCTCTTTTTATTTTTCTAAGCCAGGACAGCTAATACCAAAGCCTTATTATAACCCCCACATGGTCAAGTAATCAAAGCCCCCAGTGAGTCGTCGTGAAGGACGTTGGCTTATTAGTTCATGAAAAACATTTATTTTATATGCCGCTGCGGAGATAATGCGATTTTAGGAACACATTGCTGCAAGACATGGTCCCATCGATCTGACTTATTTTGCAATCTACCGCCTTGAGAAGGCAAGGGATGATTTTGTTGATCACACAGAAACCGGTGTAATGAGGGATTATAGAACGACTGAAATCTCAGTCAGTGTACTTTTAAATCATGAAACAAAAGAACAAAACGCCTTTTCATGCAATTGAAATGGTTAGGCACCGTTATCACAAGTTAAAACAGTTTGTGTCCTCGCAGTCTGTGTACTTTTATTTCTTGTAATAACAGGACAAAACGCCTTTTTACGCAACTAAAAAGGTTAGGCGCAGTTATCAAAAGCACGCAGCTCAATTCTTAAGTTGAATAATTTGTGTCCTCGGAGCTTGTAGCTTTCGTTATGTTTCTAATGGTGGCGATTTAATCACGCTCATGTTTTTACAAGGTAATGTAAAGTGACGTAATACATTAAAACACAGACAGACGACCAAAGGAAAGCAATCACTGCAAATGCAATCCCCATTCTATTCAGGAAAGGGTGATATATATTCCTGTCAATGATAGTAAAGTTTTAATTATTTACTAGGTTTTAGATGTTAGTTTTGGAAGTGCCCATACCAAAACTTTATTTTATCCTTAATGAATTACGTAATTAAATATTACTTCTGGCAATCAAGCGATATAATGTTCAAAGGAATTGAAAACTAATCAACAGCGCCTAAACTTAGCTGAAATGAGAAAGCCAGAAGTAAACAGTTTAAATAGGACCTTCAAATATTTTCAAGCCTGGAGCATTTAGAGTACTTCAAGTTTCACTTTTTCTGGCCACAGAGTGAACGCACTCTTCGTTTTGATGTGACGATACCACTTACCGTATTCCCAATTCATTCTTAACAAGACGTTAGATTTGGCAATCGTATTAATTTGAACTTTCATGTTCTGGATTAATACCCACAAGAGTCCCATTCTATCGCCTCTATTACCTCGTGGATACATTGCTGATTTAGTGAAATATGCCTGTTTCTTTTTTCATTGTCTTTGAGCTGATACGCTGTTATCACTTTATAATAATCTGAAACGCACGTCTTGCTTCAGAGATAAATTAAGAAGTTTCCTTAGAAATTGACGTAAGATATCCTTGTTCAGGTTAACCGGAGGGCCATACTGTCCCACAGTGGCTTGGTATTACGTGCGTGTTTTTAATGCCAGATGTGTCTTTGTCTTTTCAGACGCAGCCAGTAGGGGAAAGAACTAATTGCCACTCTAACCAACGCACAGCACCTAGAGAAATTTGACGACAGATAAAAGATACGCCGGCGTGGACTTTCTTCTTGTTCACAGAACCTGATACGAGTGCCAGCCTTGGCATTAGTTCATGCCTCAAGATGGCGTGCGCTGGCATCAAAAGGAAAGACCACACGTCGACGAAGACGTATTAATGGATATTTTTTGTCTGAAACTCCGTTTTGTTAATTTTGATATTGAGAGTCCTGAACAACGAGAACATTGGGCAGCACGGATGTTGTAGCTTATCGCGTTGGTGGATTTAAAAACGCAACATACCAAGATTTTCTATTAAAAGGAGATCGGAACCCGGTCAATATTGGATTACCTCTGTGGAAAAGCAACGCAAAAAATCTTTAGGGCCGTTGTAGACGAGTGTGTATGGGCTACCAATCCAAGAAGGAAAGATCAGTTCTCTTTGATTGTTTACTTAGTGTGTGACGTGTGGGTTGATGGAAACGACGGCGGTATAGATTTCTATTCGATCCAGTCCACTGTTATTACCAGCCTATGGACTGCTCCCTGCTTGCGCGCCAATATTGGACATGTATTATAATGGGATGTGACGAGCTCGAAATTAGACTTTAGTGATAGACGAAAACTGGAATGTAGGAAAACTTGGCTCCAGCAAGTAATTTAATGTAATAGATACCTTTGAAAAAGCAAGACATCCGTATTCTACACATGGCCAAAGCGTGAAGCATGCTGTAGCAGAAATACTGATTTATAGTACCGTTTTCTTATTATGGAGATGTAATGTAGAATACGATAAGAAAGAAACAAAACCATTGGATTGCTTGTAGCCTTTGGACACTTAACCAAACGGTTCTGAATGATACCTGCGAATTTGAGGAGCACAACAAGAACTACAAATGCTTTTATAAACAGTGACGCTACTGCTAATGCACGCGAGTACAGCATAATCCCTGGTGTAAAGATTTACAGGGAAATCGCGGAGTTCCAGCGTTTCCATTTTTGTCTTCAAGACAGAAACCCTACTGGAAGTGAATGAATCAAGGCATGATCTGGATTTCATGTCGTTTTGGCGCCAAAGAAATAATACTTTGAATTTGAAGGGCATGTTTTGAATCATTGAATGGAAATACAAACTGCTCACAGGTTTTAGTTTGAAGGGTGTGAACTGGCGATTAAAAAAAATTAATATTTCAAGATAAACGCTGTGTTAGTAGAATCACGAGGAATAAACTGCACCCTGAATAACCATGGTGGATCTACCTTGGGGCCACGTTTACGTCAATGCAAGTCAAGAGAGGGGGACGTCTCCCGCCGTAAGCGGCCTAGGAGGGACTGATACCTCCACCGCTGTATGGGTATATCCACCCGGACATGAGGCAAGCCTCGAAGCCAAATTCGACGCTGCTTATCACAACCAAAGCAATAATACCCATAGCTTGGGTCCAATATACAACAGTTTGGAACACTTAATCGTTACATCCGTTATTTTGGGGATTTTCATTCTCGCCACCATTATTGGAAACTGCTTCGTCATCGCTGCCATCGTTCTGGAGAAGCACCTGCAGAGCGCGGCCAATTATCTCATTGCCTCCCTTGCGGTGGCGGACCTATTTGTGGCGGCGTTGGTGCTTCCGCTTAGTGCGGTGAATGAAGTCAGCACTCACTGGCATCTCGGGAGCGAACTCTGCGACATGTGGATCAGCATCGATGTGTTGTGCTGTACTGCTTCAATTTTACACCTGGTTGCCATAGCGCTAGACCGCTACTGGGCGGTGACGGACGTCAACTACATCCACCAGCGGAAACCCAGACGGATGGTGATAATGATCGCTGTCATCTGGGTATTCTCAGCCAGTATATGTTTCCCACCGCTTTTTGGATGGAAAGACAATAAAAACGACCCATCGGTAACGGGACTGTGTATAATAAGTCAAGACTGGTGGTACACCGTATATTCCACTGGGCTTGCATTTTATCTGCCTTTAATAGTAATACTTGTTATATATGCAAAGGTGTTTAAAGCAGCAAAATCGAGAATTCGGCGGAGACAGTTCCAAGCGCCAGTAACTTCTAATGGACTTAATGGGCAAAAGCCAGAAGAAGTGAGCACGCTTCTTACCCCCTACGGAGCTCGTTCCAGTTCCAAGCACCGAGAGTAACTCTGACACTGCGCAAAACAACGAAAACGGGAACGTCAAAAATAAAGACGTTAACCGGAATAATCACCACCAATCAGTGTGTGAAGACACCATGTCTGTTACAACCGACAGTCCTGATCAACGTAAACACAAACACAAGTTCGATCGAATGGACACCCACGGCAGACTTCTCAGTCCCAAAAAATGGTTTCCAGTTGCAAAAAAGAGAAAAGACATAAACAAAGAAAGGCGAAAAATTGAGATGAAAAGGGAGAGGAGAGCAGCACGAACTCTTGCGATAATAACCGGTTCGTTTGTTGTCTGCTGGCTGCCATTTTTCATCGTCGCAATCGTGCGACCGTTTTGCGGCAACGTCTGCACCATCCCTGATTTACTGTCAAGCATTGTGAATTGGCTCGGTTATACGAACAGTCTCCTCAACCCAATTATATACAATATTTTCAACCCAGATTTTAGAGGAGCGTTTAGAAAAATAATATGTGGTCGATACAGACGACGGTGATGCATCTGGAGTAAAGGAATTGCTGACAACACGATGTGGGACCTGTTTATCTTGCAATGAAACGCGTACATTTAATGGCCCTGGAGGAACGAGCGCTGTCAAAAAAACTGAATATGAAACGTCCAAGGGACGATCTGAATGCAGCTAATTTCCCTCGATGATTTACTTTGTTGAAACCAATTGTCAATAATTTGACTAATACCAAAATGTTACACGCCAAGGCGAAATTTACCGCAAATGTGAACGCAGCGCATTAGGGAGTCTGGGTGTAAAAAGAGTTCACTAAGCATTTTGGTACATTAGGGATATATTATTGCTGAAGGAAAACATGCAGTTATATCACTCACAGTAACAAATGACATTGTAACAGATTCATCGGTGTTTTCGGACAAGTTTTTTTTCCGCTTATTATGGTTAACAATTACACATATCACACACCCACTTCACAAAGCAGCTGAATTCTCTTAAAACGAACAAGTCGAGCATTTCAATCTTTCACAAGTCTTAATAGATTCATTCCCTTCAAGTCGACCTGAGCGACAGGAAAATAGTCCTTCGTACTGAGGTCCGTCGCCCGATATAATTAGGACAGGTTAGGATTAGCTGGTACTATCTAGGTAATTGCAAGGTAGTATACGGACCGAATGCCACATATACAAAGTGAAGGGACTTGGAATATGATTCCTAGCGGACTGGCATAACTGTTACACCAGTTAAACTTCGTGTTTTGACGTATTCGTACAGACGAAAAGTGATCAGCTCTAACTTAATTACTTGACTTTTTCACCCTGTACTGTAGGTAGAGGAATCTACATATGTCTGTGTGTCCGCGTCATGTTATATAGCTAGTAGATTCAATGCCGCACATACTGAAACTTGATTAGTTTAGTAGCAGCTTCGATATCTTAATATCATTATTCACACCTTGCATTTCAGACGTCGAGGTCAAAGATCAAAAATAAAATATCACTGTATGTTCTATGTATCTTGTTAATTCGTTCAGTTTTAATGTGTCCATACATTATGGGCAATGTCCCCGCTTCGTCCCGTCCCTTATGAGCGTTTACACCTGAAACAATGGATAATCCTGGAAACGATATCACCTTTATTAGCATATTTTAAAGTTGTAGATTCAAAAGAAATGATACAAGTGGCATTTGTATAGAAGACTAAATGGAAAAAAAATGAGGCAATTAGCATAATTTATTATCAAGATTTTTTATTTAAGACAGGAAAAATTGTATACCACAGGTGTCTTATAAGCCCGGGCTGGGTGTTCTATACACATGACACGTTAATAAATGAATATGATGATGGTTATACCTAACAAAAGATGTGGATGAAATTACGACCTGTAAACCAATTGTCGTTTTCTAAATAGCATTTTACTGTTACGAGACAAAAATTGCTAGTGCTGTATCCCACTTCATAAGGAGAGTGACGCAAAATTGGAATCTTAGAACTTCAACCGGCTTAATTCTAATAAGTGAGTAACTTAGTGATAAAAGAAAAGTGTAAAATTTTCCATGGAGATACGCTTTGCAATTTAAACTTTAATTTATGACCTACTGTATTCTTTAAATATAATTGACCCGAGGGAAGTCACAATGAGGAGAAAATTTTGTTATTATTTGAAGTTACACCTCATGTTATGAAAACAAAAAAATGAAAATCGTATTCGGAAAACACTGTTTAAACATTATCTCAAACCGTGTCCATTTATGTCCGATGCACAATCATGTATTTTCTTTCCTTTTCCGCTGCAAAGAAAAAAATCAATAAGTACTAAAAACGTGTCCAAAAACAACAAAAAACATCCCTATAAATATTTGACTGATCGTTTCCTCTTGGTGCTTACTTCTGGCAGTGAATAGAAGCAAAGGAATAAAAGTGGGGAAAAAAATTCCCGCACCAAGCTTTTAGAGTTAAGAGAACGTGTACATGCGGAACCTAAATTAATTATTGACGGTGCGTTTTGCAACAAAACTGAGCACAACAGAATAGAACTTATTCAAAGGAAAAAAATGCCAATTGCATTTTGATAAAATTGCTATTAGTACAATTAGATTTGACGAGTTGTTTTTTTCTCCATGGAATCAAACACCTTGCATTTCATTCATGTACGTTCTCTTAAGATCTCCTCAGCTTATTACGCTAAAAGGCACATGACTCAGAGCACCGGCGACTCGCGCGGTTATGTCACTGATATAATCAAATACACCATCCGGCTTCTACCATACCGACTGCAAAACAAAGCAATCTTCTTTCCACATATTGGACAAGAGAAATTTTGTGACTGAATCTAAATCTTAAGTAGACAGTGAGAAAGTCGCAAAGGCTAGTCCCATTTTGAATAAGACGTAATGTTCATATAGTATTCTAACTGGTGAGATGTTTGCTTACAATTGAAAGCGTCAGTGGCACTGAACAATTCCGTTTAAGTTTGTGCATATTGCACCAAACAAACTGTTTTGAAAATTCGAAACATCTTCCAATTTGACTATTTCTTATTTTAATAACCTACTGTAACATTAAACATTATTCAAGTACGGTGTGCATTAACGACCGATTAAAAGATCATGCCGCTCCAAAAAAAAATAATAATAATAAAAAAAGAATAAAAAAATAAAAATAAAAAATAAATAAATAAAGATCACTAGCCTAAAGTAGGCAGTATAAATGTCAGTAGACAGTAGACATGTAGCACACAGTTTGAAGGTAGTGTCCTTATGCTACACGGGTACACTTGGGTTATATTTTCCCCGAGTACCAGAACAGCAGCCTTGACCAAATAACTGACGTGGTAAAGAAACGTATATTAACATGTTTTTTTATCGTTTGACTGTCCAGAGTCAAGTTATATTATTTGCGGACCAACCCCCTACCTGACAGGGAGAGGCCAAAGTGTTTCTTTGTGTCGCTTTCCTCTTTTAGACAGTTTATTTTCCCCAAATTTCCTCTCTGGAACGGGTGTACCTTTAACACAAATTTATGCAAAGGAGATATTACAAATACTAAATCCAATAATTCCATTCCATTTCATTCTTAAAGGACACAATACAAGCTGTCATAAAGTTACCCCCCCCCCATTCAAATTCTTATTTTCAATTACAAGAAGGTAATAATTTATTTACCAACACATTCAACTACAATGCAATAGTTGGGACGAAGCTGTGAGTGAAGGCGCACAACAGCCACAATAGGCTCACTTTTCACAACAGCAGTAATGGAAAAAAACACATCATAGTAGGTTATGCGGTACGTAAAGTGTTCATCACTAAATCATAATTTGTCTAAAACTGAATAATTAAGGCACATACTTTAACATCTGACGTCGTTACATCGTTATTTACTACATATATATGGTAAAATACATAATCGCTGAAAGTGGGTGTAATAAAGGACATACCCCCGATACGAGGGCAGCGTACATGTACCTGTAGCGTATAAGGATACCGAAAAAGTGCAACGTGCAAATGATCATGATAAATAACATGTTCGTGATATTCAAACATTGTTGTCAATCATTTGTCATCTCTTTTCAAATGGGAAGTTGCTTTTTTTAGTCGTTTAACTGTACCCTAATCCTTTTCCTACTCATGAGGCGAGGTAACGAGGACATGCTAAGGCCATCTAATACACTGGAAGTGGGCAGATTACGCCTCCAGAGACTCAGTGTGCAAGTATGGCAACAAATAACTTCTCAGTGGTGGTCGTTTGCATTATTTTGTTGGTTTTAGAACCTGAAATATCCTCACACACCGAAGAGAGCGCCGATTCCAGTAAGTAGTATTGTTATTTTAAGAGGAGATGTTTAGAACTCATTTTAGTTATAAATATTCTCCGTTTTCATATAAACCTATGTAAAGCCAGCAAGTGAAGTATTTCACCTGGTACATTGTTGACCCTTGTAACAGAATATATACAGTACTATGTGCATGATACCTTTATATAACAAAAAAGTAGTACTTTTCCGAAAGATTTCAGCAATTTTCCGCTCTGTCATCGAGACATTTTTATTTGTACTATTTTTTTTACGTAAACGCTTAATAAAAATATGGGTTATTTTCGCATCTTTTTGTGCCCAATTATTCATCCCACAGAATATGATTTAGCGCTTTCTGAAAAAGAATTTTCAATGCCAACTGAGGTCATTATCGATTCAATTGTATTCGTGTTTTAATATACGACCTTTTTTATTCAATACACACAAGTGTTTATTTCTCTTAAGGATAAAAATACAACTCCTCCGCTCACACAGGTGAATCATACGTAGATTATTCTCATACCCACCAAGATGTCATTGATGATAACCTCGAATGTACGTGCACAAGTGCGCAAAGGAGGTGACAAGCACACCGGCTGAAAGAGTGTACCAAAGTCAGGGGAGCACAGGGGACAAATGCAATTGCCTCAGTGAACGAGCAGGTTGCTCAATTCAAGTTCGACATGTTAACGTCCGAAAATGAAAGACAATCATCCAAAAAAAAAAAAAAAAAACAATGATATTAAGAGCATTTTAAAAGCATGTATAAAACACGACGTCCTTCGTTTGGCAACCATAGAGCATTTGACCAATATATTGGTCGCACAAAGCAG